CAACTACAGCAGCAGCAGTAACAACAACAACAACAACAAAGGCAGGAATGTTAACAGACTCAAAGTAAATTTACAAATTTGACTACATAATTGAGTGAAATTTATTATTTTGTATTTATCAAAATGCATTAAAATTCACGATTATTTAAGTTAAAAACTTGCGCAAACACGAGCACACACGCACAAACATGCAAAAACATGCACATTATATAGTAATAAAGTGTAGCATTTGTATGAGTTTCACATAAAAATTTGTTGTATATTGCATATTGTTTATGCAAATGTTACTGGGGTCTGCGCTGTTGTGTTGGCGTTAGCGTGAGTGTATGTGCGCAATAATTTTTTGCAGTGTACGTGACTTTTACAATTTTGCACTGCAATCAAAAATGTTTATAAAATTTTTGTGTAAGCAATGAGCACACGTGACACCATTAAACAATTGTAATTTCACGCATGTGTGTGCCTGTGCCAGTGCCAGTACCACTGCCTGTGCCAGTGCCAGTGTCAGTGCATGTGTGCTGGAACACATTCGACAAAGTGACTTTTGGAAAAGCTTTTAATTTTTGGTAAAAGCATTTAACTTTTAAACTATTTACAGTTTCATTTTGTTGGAAACCATTTGGATTTCAATTATTTTAATTTTTCTGCACTACACATACCAAGGCGGCATACTATATTCCAAAGTCTTCGTGCTTAATGTTAGATTAGTAAACCAGATTGCTTAAAAATATGAGAAACAGAAGTTCACTATAGCTTGTCTGAGGCCGAGGTAAAAAATTAAATAAACTTTAAGTATTATTCATACTAATAATGCTGGGACATACTAGACTACTACTCCTGATTGAAGTTGGAAGCTATAGAAACTTGCCTGAAGATCTAACACTTTCTGCATGATAGCGAATGAGTGTATTAGAGAAATTCTCCAACACACAAATCAAGGCGGCATACTATATTCCTAACTTTTCGTGCTTAATGCTAGATTAGTAAACCAGATTGCTTAAAAATATGAGAAACAAAAGTTCACTATAGCTTGTCTGAGGCCGAGGTAAAGAATTAAATAAACTTTAAGTATTATTCATACTAATAATGCTGGGACATACTAGACTACTACTCCTGATTGAAGTTGGAAGCTATAGAAACTTGCCTTAAGATCTAATACTTTCTGCATGATAGCGAATGAGTGTATTAGAGAAATTCTCCAACACACAAATCAAGGCGGCATACTATATTCCTAAGTTTTCGTGCTTAATGTTAGATTAGTAAACCAGATTGCTTTAAAAATGAGAAACAAAAGTTCTCTATAGCTTGTCTGAGGCCGAGGTAAAAAATTATATAATCTTTAAGTATTTTCCATACTGATAATGCTTAGACAAACTGGATTACTACTCCTGACTGAAGTTGGAAGCTATAGAAACTTGCCCGAAGATCTAATAATTTCTACACTGATACTTTCTACAATTTTTAAAATTAAAACGAACTAAAGCGCGGTGCAGATGATCAGTTTTGAGTATCATTCAAGAGAGAAAATCGATGAATGACACTCAAAAATGACAGTCTGCATCTTTAAATGACACGCAATCAACATGTTGACATGCTTAATAAAATTTTGGTGAGCACATCATTCAGTATCTCGCCAACATGTTGTGAATGATAGTATGTCACCCGAAAACTTTCATTCGTCTTTCAAGAACATATTTTTGCATGGTGTGCAACCATTAACATTAACAGGTTGTTTACGTACATTAACAGCGTACGTAAACAACCTTACTCTTTAAAAATTTTGCTTGAATGACAACTGAAATCCGCAAAACTGATACAGTGTGGCTTAATCAACCTCAACCTCAAAAACTGTTCTAATGCGTCTTGGGCGATAATTTTGACAAAAATGAAGTTGTATCAATTAATGTTATACGATAGCTAAAGTTAAGCAATTTATCCACCTGGTTTGCTAAGATTTAGAAAACGTTTGTTAGTAAAAAGACTATTCACATGGTAAGAGTCAATCATGATTATCATGACTCAGTTGTTACTGTTTTTTATGTTTGTTGTTTATAAACTTATGTATATGTTATAGTAAAATAATTTTCAGGAACTTATTGGCGTTTTTCATTTGCTTGTACTTTATAACTGTCCAGCCAATTTTGAGATTTCAGGTGCAGTCATTTCTTTAATATTAATTTGTTCCTACGAAACTACGTATTGAATGCTATTTTTACACCTAGAATTACCGACTTTCATTAATATAATTATTAATTATTATATTATTATTATATTATTATTATATTATTATTATATTATTAATATAATAATATAGTGCTGCATATCTGTTCATGCTGTTTTTTTCCTTAATCACTTAGGTCTCTTATACAGCTGATTGTCGTTTATAATCTGTAAAAATGTCATGTGAATGCCGATTACAATACGATGTCAGAATCACAATTAATTTTTCAATTTGAATTAGATATAATAAATTAGTTTGCATTTTAATAACAAATTGAATGAAGGACATACACTGAAACGGAAATGAAGAGATTGGTAGGTAGATTAATACATGAACTGACCGATTAATATATCTATAAAAAAAATCAAAAATGAGAAATGCCTGTTGTATCCTCTTTTTTAAGTTTATAATGTCAGTTTATTAAAGATAGTTTTTCATATTTTTTGAAATTAGTTTATAAAAAAAAAAGATTGATGTGGTATAAATCGAATAAATAAATTCATATCATTTTTCATGAATATTGCGATCACAATCGTTTATTCTTATTTTCAAAGTTGAAGCTTTGAAAATCTGAGAAAAATGCTTTTTCACAGCACAGTTTTGAGAACAATTTGCATCCCACAAGAGAAAATTGCAGATACTGGAGTAAATAATAATTCAATGGTGGCTGACACGATTATACTGTGGGTGTAATACAATTTCCAGTCAATGAGTTTCGACTAAAGTTGAGCTAATCAGGATCTATGTGAACTACCATTATTATGATAAAATACAAAATATTTTCTTTAGACCAAATAAAAATATATTTTTAATTCTTTACTTTAATCTCAATAATAACTAATAAAAGAATTCGAATTCATTTAATCATTATTTTGCAATAAGTTTTAAAAAAAAACAACAATCCCAATAATTTACTACTAATAATTATAATTATTAAAAAATTAGCGCTAATCTCAAAAAAATTTTTTCCAATAATCAACTAAACTGCTGTCTATCATAAAAGAAATAAACGAATACTGTTAATTATATTAAAATACTGTATTTTAAAGTTAACAGAAAAACACCGACTACTTTATGACCAACCCGTTATTTTTAATTTTTCAACTTTCTTGCAGCACTCATTGTAGCTTTGACATCTATGGTAGTATTTCATTTTTTCGAATTTGATTATCGAACTAATTTCGTATTAATTACTATAAGTGATGCTCTGTAATTCTTGAATTAGCTTAGATCGTCTAGTTCACTAGGTCGAGAAATACTCTCCCCTTCTGACATTAGGATATGCTCAACGGCCCACATTCTAGCCTTCATTCGAAAGGCGGAATGTCTTCTGTTCGGTTATGGTCTGTTGCAGCACAAAAGATCAATCATGGACGCACTGCTCCGCTCCGTTCGGAGCTCGAAACTCGTTCATTTCTATTCCTATTCCTAGATCTTCTTTTTTGCAAATTGGAAATAATTGTGCCTTCAATTAAATAACGTGTGAATTTTTGTGTGTTCTGGAATTTTTGAGTGAATGGTGTTAATGTGCATGCCTTTGTGATGTGGTCTGCCTAGAGCATTTTGATGTAGATTTCGTCAGCGCTATCTTTCATTATTTTTTAAGGTGAGAAAAAGAACATTCCATCTAACTTCTTTATTGTTCGTTCTACAATTACATCTATCAAAACCTGCAGATTTGGAGATTAAACACGAAATTTAGTACTAATGCAAGGGAAAGTAAATATGCACAAGAAATTTTAATACATTATTTTAATTCGATTTAACATATTCCATTATATATAATAATATTTTGTTTATTTTTAATTGTTTGAAATTTTGATTAAGGAAAATGTTTTAAATTTTAAAAATTTGGAAACACTTTTTCTTATTATTATGTTGAAGTTAGTTGAGGCAGTGCACTTGAGCACTTTTACACTCTATTAACTGCAAAGTATCTTCAAAACCCCTCTTTACGCCTTCACTGGACTATTGTTTATCACTTCATCAGATCAAGCAATAATTGAGATCTGCATACCTCCCCGAGGAGCCTGTAACCATTCTGAGATACGATAACGCAGTCTTGGTAAGACTGTCAGTTTTCGTAAATAATTTCAAGGCTCTATCCTTTATGCATTTTTTGATCGGTTTTTATATCTTATATTTTGCTTGAAAAATTTTAAGAAGCTTTTAGCAAATTACATTACTTGAAATTTTAAGCTCTTGAAGTATTTAAATATTATTAAATTTTATCTTGCATAAACAGAAGTTTTCAACTATTTACTGTAAATGAATTGAAAATGTATAAGCCTACAATTTAAGTACTAAGTAAACTATTAATTTCAATAGGTATTACATCCCGGCCTTTACTTCATACTTCTTACTTCATTTAAAATACAATAGGCATCAATTACGTAAATAATTGGGTATCAGTATAATAAGTAATTTTCATGCAATAGTTTATAGTTTAAGGATTTAATTAGTTAAGCCAAGGATATCAATTACTTTTGTTAGAAGTGGGTGACGAGGTGGTTAATTTTGGTACGAAATGCTTCAAAGCTTAGCTAATTACATATTTGAGGCAAAAACGTTTTACATACGAGTATGTAAGTATTGTAATTTATGTATATTTGCATTATTAGAGATTCGTATATAAATTGTAATAATGAATTGGAGTTCATAAATATATGTTACACGCATATAATTTACTTACAAATATATTTGATCTAAGTAGTTACTTGCATATTAAAGAGTAATTATAGGACGTTGAAATTTACGTAGTGCTAAAATATCAACTTACCTTGCTGCGTTTTGACTTGCACTGGCGTGGACATTGGACCGGCACCCATTGACGTATACGCCTGCACGCGTACAGTGTATATGTTATGCGGTATTAATTCGGACACGGTCGTTAGTTCACTATTGTCAACCATTTGAGAGTCCCAAGATGTTTCCGGTTGATTTGGATTTGTCGTATAGTAAACTTTATAGCCCTGAAATTGCAATAAATTGATTTAGTGGAGATTGCTTATACTTCTATTATATGAAAATATAGTAACTTTTATCTTAATATGTTATCTTTAACATCTTTGTAATATGTTGAGTTGCAACAACAAAATTTAATAATTTAATAAATTTATTTTAATATTTTTTTTATTTTCCATTTTATAAGAAAATAAAATAAGAATAAGATTAGCAAGAAGAAAGTAAGTCTAGTGGCTTCTATTTCACAAATATTTTAGTTAAGTCTGAAGATGTATTTAATGTCTTTAAGGAAGTAACTATAGTGACTCCCATTAAATTGTTTTCTTAAATAAATCTGAAGATGTTTTTAATATTTAACTGTGCAATTTCAATAAATTTTAATTTGAATAATTAGTCCCAAACAATGTTTTCGGTGTTTTAAACATGATATTGTGTAATTGTAAGAATTTGTCTCATATATGTGCTTAGCTAATAAAAGAAGATCTCAATTAATTTATCTATTTAAAAATCTCAATCTAAAATTAAGTTAATTTATGAAAATATTCTGAAATATTAGAAAATGATTTAACCCATTTAAAAATATTCAAAATATTTTTAATTGCTTAAAATCAGTTAATTTTTATAAAAAATCACGATCTAATTAAAACTAATTAATTAATTCAAATTTGCATCATCACAATAGCTTTATTGGTATCTAACTTTTAAATTCATGTACAATATTCATATAAATAAGTATCTACATAATATGTCTATTTACAAATTTCTATTGCCCTATTTTTATATTTTATTTTAGTCTAATTAATTTAGGTTCTTATTTACGATATGCTTATCAATTTATAGGTGAAATCAATGTTGGGAAATTAATAGCAGCAGGCATTTCTGTTGCACCTTCTAAACCATATAAGGCTTGAGAAATTAGTGAAACTCTAAAGCACATTCTTATTTATGGAAATACGAGAAAATTTATGCACCCTCAGCTACACTCAAACATAAATACATATATACATACACACATACACAGCCGTATTCAAATAATAGCCTCCATTTAATTTAATTATATTCACTAATACATGCAAAGTGAACGCGCTGTTGGGTTCATTAAATCTTTTTAAGAAGAACAGTCAAGTTAAGACAACCGCCAATACAATAGAAGAAATTTGTAGATTTGTAGACGTCAATGGGAATACAAATGTGAATGAATACGAATACCAGGTTGAATAGTTGATTTTACAAAGGCAACAGGGAGCTGTGTAAAGAGTAATATAAATGCCGTTATTTAAACAATAAATTCAATAAACCAATACACACACACAAAGTGACTAATGCTCTTACCACGTACAATCCATAGGTAAAGACAGTTTTTTACACCTTTCGACGTGAGTTCTGGTTTGGTATATGGCACAATAGAGCGCATAGAAGGTGATTAAATGAATGCGTGCTCTTACACAAACCAACAACTTCAACTTGTAGAAGTACGTGTTTACATATATAATATATATATATATATATTTATATATATATATGTGTGTATAGATATATGTATATATATATTTGTACATATATGTATACATATTATTGTAGAAAATGGTATTTAGTAGTTACTGCCTGGGTTTACTTATACTCGTACATCAAACACTGGCACATATCCTGTGATGTTGTGGCTATAGAACATAATACCAGGGTATGTGCACATAAAATTGTTTTTGTCATTATCATCAATTACATAAATTTGTGTAGAATAATAGTGTTGCCATTGATATATATCAGTTAATTATCGCAGGAATAAATCTATTTGCATTTGTCAATGACAGCAGACATATGTACATTTCAATACATAGTAACACACGTCAATGTAGGTATGTGTGAAATACAAGATGTAAAGAGATTGAGGAATTAGTAAGCGTAACCAGATTCAGCCAACCAGAAGCAGAAACCAAATTTCTTTGCAGAGGCTTAAATTAAATCAAGTATTTTTTGAGAAAAAATTTCTACAGTCTATTTTGATGCAATAATAAAAATACACAGATACACAGGTTGTTTTATGGTAAAAAATTTCCAAGAATTGTTAAATTGTTGACATTTTACTCAACTCAACTTAAAAGTTTATTGTCACCTTCATTAGGTGAGCCAATGGTACTTTCAAATACTTTTAATTGGCGTTTCCAGATTCAATCTTCAACTTTTAGCAAAGATTGTGGCAAAAGCATTAAAGAGATTTGTAATATTGTTTCAATCAATCCAAAATCAATGCTCCATTATGTCAATTTCAATCTTTGAGCACTAAAAACAGAAAAGAGAGTAGTTCTAATTTTACTTTCTTTCACATGGCATTTCATGAAATGACAGTTTCGTCTGATGCGAGTACATATAGCATCCGCTTTTAAGCTAACATTATTTACAGTAAAGTTGTGTGTTTTAAATTGACACAATATATATATTCTATGTATAAAGGATCCGTCATTTATAATTTGACAAAAGCGTGAAAAATATACTATCACAATATTTATTCCGTAAGATGGTTTTACCATGCGAGACTGGAATATCATCTGATTTCCAATATGATGACAACAGAAAACCATTACATAAAATCATTCTTGTAGAATGATTGTACTAAACGAAGTACCATAATTAACAGACTTGGTCTCGTGCTATATAATCTATAAAATTACTACTTCAATGGATTTAGATAAAAAAAAATTCGTAATAGTGGCGGAAGACCATACCTTGATCGCCCTACAAAAAATATGTGCATGACTGAATCAAGCGCCGATGTAGTAATATTGCACTCAATGGTGTTTTTTTTTTGAAGATAAGTCAACAGGGACGGAATTGTTTGAATTGTTTGATGGACTACTATTTGTTTGATGTTTAAACATTCATTCTAGATAGTTAGAATCTGTTTGTCGTTCGGCTCTTAGGTTCAGAGCTCAGGTTAGGTTAGGCAGTATGGTTCTTTACTAAATTTTGAAATTCCATAATTTATTTTAAATCTCTGATTGGTAAGTTTTGCCTTCATGGTCTTGATTTTTTTATTGCAGAATATAGAATGTACAATTTAAGAATACAATAGTATAGAAATTAATACGGTAGTAGGTTCCCACAGTACAGCAGTATTCACCATAAAAGATCTTCTGTACTTAGAACAACGGTTTATTTTATAATTTTTTTTCAACGTATATCATTTATTTTATTGATTTTACTTCAATGAATTATGAATAAAAAGCGTAGAAAATTTTGTTTAATTTAATTAATAAGGAAAAATACAAATGGACACAACTATGTTTAAAACATGATTTTAAATGTTCACATATTGTAATATCTTTAAATAATAATATAAAACGTAATAATAAAAAAACGTTAAAAACAAGTTATAAAGTTATTGGATAGTAGTCACCGAAAGTATCAAAGATTAACTAATTTTATATGATGTATTAGGAAGTTTTAAGAAAATAATAATTCTCATTGAATCTGTTGAACAATATATTTGATATAAAATTCACAATTAGAATCAGCAATATTTAACAGATTTACATAATTTAAAGAAAGGCAACATTTTATAAAAGTTGTCCATATTAGATAACTACTTTTTTAGGAATTTCGATTTTAGTTTATACTTAATAAAAAGACAATTGATAATTGTTATTTACTCTGACAGCCAGGTTGCTCTCAAAGCTCGGTCCTCTTGAACTTTCAAGTCAAAACAGGTTCCTGAGTGCTATGAGCTCTTTCGACTACTTGCAACTCGGAATAAGGTTAACCATTACTAGGTTCCGGGTCACAGGAGAGAACTGCATTAAAAACTACTTTTACAGGTCCCCAACCCTTTTGTGGGATAAACTGGGTCAGTACAACAGAAATTATGAAGGAAGGGGAAAATCATATGCAGCTGCAGTACTGGAAAAACTTCCCAGGACTTAGACAAAGCAAAACACTGATAACACCGTACTCTTACAAAAACATGCTCTAATTTTCAAAATATAATTTAATGTTGCTAACGGGTTTATTTACAGGTCTTTATGAACTGAAATATCACCTTCATAAACTACATACATCTGCTAATACGGAATGCAGATTATGCTTCGAAGATAAGGAAACTACCATGCATACTCTTTGTGATTGCCCAGCTTTAAGAAGGCTCAGAAGTAACTTGTTTCATTTGGAACTTCTGTCATCAGATTAAGAACTCTTCTTCAGATTTAGTTCCAGACTTTATTCACAAAGTTTTAGGCGGTTTGTGTAATCAATAGTGAAACTGGTACAATAGGACTCTTCTGGCCGCAGTACCGGCTGTTGGGCGATTTTACGTCTAAACTTTTAATAATAATAATAATAATAATAATAATAATAATAATAATAAGAGAAATTCTATGCTTATTGCTTGGCACAATAAAACATGTTAATGGCTGATATTTATCATTTTAAAACTTTAAGATTATAGCTTAATATAGCTTTTAAGAAGAATGAAGATTGAAGATTGTAGCTTTATAATTTTATAATACATATTTATATGCATGTCTAGGTTATGGATGTTTCTTTTAGAATAGAAATAAACAAGTTACCGGAGTGGAGCACCGCGACCATGGATGTTTCTTTTAGTTTAAGTGATTTTTGATTTTAGTTAATTACTATATGGATGCAGCTAAGTAATGTTCAATTACCCATTCCAAGTAAATTTTACGACATGAATGTAGAATTTGTTCAAAGGGTTATGTTAGTATTAATAAAAAGAAATGTTTTTTTAATCTCTTCCTTATTTTACTGCAATTTATTTGTAGTATGACTAAAACAACAAATATCCTTCTTTATAAGTGAACTACACTTTCGATTAATGCATTCTTCATAATAACCAGTACTTTTTGTTTATCTTATCTGGATACTGTAAATATAGTTGAAAAGTCTCACAGCGTCAATATGACCAAAATTTTAATTAAAAATTTTTCTCTTGCTGCAGAATTTTTCTCAAGTGTTAAGTACAACAGATGTCTTTTGCAGAAAAATAAGTTTCTGT